GCCCGTCACAAAGTCCACGATGGATTTGACCTCGGGTTCCGAGTTGGGGTAGGGGCCATGGTAGGTCTCCGTGCAGGAGTTCCCGCTGGCCCCAGACCCTGTGGGGAACAGGAGAGGGAAAACAGGGTGGGCTTTGGTGGCACTTGGGTGGCTCAAAGAGTGCCCAGGGAAAAAGGGTCTTTTCCCTTTCCAACCCCAAGAGTTTTTCCCACCCCTCAGGTGTGGCCGGCGAGGGACACTCCTGAGGCTCCTCCTGGAGATCTGTACGGAGACTTTCCCTTGTGGTCCCTGCTCTGCTGCTCATCAAACCCTGGTGGGGCCCCCAGCCCTCCCCTCTGCCATGCAGAGCAGATCCCACCTCATCCCCAGGGATCTGTGAGCCGGCAATGGCCTCGGAGCCTCCACCTGGAGAGTGGGAACACCCTGGAGGGGGAGTGGGAAGGCTCTGACCTCCAAATCCCGCGTCCCAGTTGCGGTTGGGGTCGACGCCGACGCAGATGTTACCCGGGTACTTGGACCTGGTCTTGCGCCACATGCGGTTCTGGGAGGGCAGAGCCACCTCAGCTGCTGGGCAGGGCCAGGGAGTGCCCTCCCCATCCCATGGGAATGGGACAGGGAGGCACTGACCCCCCAGGGAGGAGCAGCACCCCAGTCCTGCTCCCCTTCCCATCCCATGGGGATGAGGAGCTCTGACCTCCCAGGGATGTTCAAAACCCCAGTCCTGCTCCCCTTCCCATCCTGTGGAAACAGGGATGAGGAGGCTCTGACCTCCCAGGGATGTGCAGCACCTTAATGCTGCTCACCAGTCCCATCCCATGGAAATATGGACATGGAGGCTTTGATTTCCAAGGGATGTGGAGCACCTTAGTGCTGCTCCCCTTCCCATCCCATGGGAATAGGGATGAGGAGGCTCTGACCTCCCAGGGATGTTCAGAACTCCATCCTGCTCCGCTTCCCACCCCGTGGAAACATGGACAAGGAGCCTCTGACCTCCCAGGGATGTTCAGAACCCCAGTCCTGCTCCCCTTCCCACCCAGTGAGAATGGGGACGAGGAGGCTCTGACCTCCCAGGGATATGCAAGACCCCAGTCCTGCTCCCCTTCCCATCCAAGGGAAACATGGACAAGGAGGCTTTGACCTCCCAGGGATGAGCAGCTCCCAGTCATGCTCTCCAGTCCCATCCCATGGGAACAGGGACAAGGAGATTTTGACCTCCCAGGGATGAGCAGCTCCCAGTCCTGCTCCCCTTCCCACCCTGTAGGAAGCAGGCAGGGGGAGCTGGGGGTGGTACCGTGCTGTGGGTGTAGGCAAAGCCATCGGGGTTGGTGACGATCTCCAGGAAGATGTCCATGGTGTCCAGGATGGAGGCCACCCCTTCGTTATTGGCGTGGTCATCAACGATCTACAGAGGACAGGAGGTTTGGGGCTCCCTGGGGGTCACCCCCTGGGTCCCACAGTGGCTGCAGGACCTTTGGGGGACAGAAGGTGGGCGTGGGGAGTGTCCAAACCTTCTTGGCGAACCAGACCCCGCTGGCCTGAGTCACCCACTCGCGGGAGTGGATCCCGGTGTCGATCCACACGGCCGGGCGGTTCGAGCCCCCTGTGCTGAACTGGGACAGCAGAGAGGTGGAAGTTGGCTTTGTCCTTTGTCCCTGACCCCACTCCCCCTTCCCCGGTCACCCCCCAGACCCCGACCCCTTACCTTGAGCACATAGAGGGGCCGGTCCTCGGTGGAGCGGCCGATCTCCAGTTTGCTCACCAGGTTGGGGTTCTCGGCCACCAGCAGGTCCATGAAGGCGTAAATCTGGGAGAGAGGGATGAGGAGGGGGGGTTGTTCTCAAGCAATTCCAGGATGCCACTTTTTCCCCCCCGAAAATGCCCCAAATCTTGTGTCTCTCACCTCATCCAGGGT